GGCTTACTGGGGAATTCTGGGAGTTGAAGTCCACCCACCTTAAAGCCACCAAGGTTGAGAAACACTGGCTTAACCAATAGGCAGCCTCAGGTTCACATGTTGCTTCCTCTTCTCATAAAGAGGAAGACTTTTAAAGCAGCCCTTCCTGTTTAAAAGAAACTGCAACTTTCCCAAATCAGCAAATGCCCATTTGTTTATAACATAGTTTATAAAGTAGTTACGGTTTTCTGCCCGGACTTACTGATAAACTATAGCTTGAACACCCACCCGTCCACCCCATTTGCTGAATTTGGATGAATCATTAACTGTGGATTCTTACAAACCATGGACCGAAGCTTTTTAACCCTCTCCCTTCGTGCAAAAAGAGATAGGAAGGGTAGATAGCACGAGTGTGAGATGCATAACAAATCACCCGTTTCACAGGTAGTGTTGACATTTGCAATAGGGCCAAGGAATTCTGCTGACTGCTTTTTGATCAACTGCAGTGGATAGATGAGAAGCACCACTGCTGGGTGGAATCTCTGTTTGAGGTCTAGCCACCAAGTTCCTGACCCAAGCTGTGGTTACTGCTGCAAACAGAAGCAATGTTACAGGATGCCAGACCTATTTACCGAATGCAATAGAAAACGCCCCAAAATTAGGGAAGAATTGCCTTCATTAGTAGATAGTGGGAACGTTAGAGACAGGGGGTAAAACTATAAAAGGAATTTAGACTGACTTCTCCCCTGTTGGTAAAAAATAAACCAGCTGCTTTTCTCTTATTATTTATTTATTTGCTTACGAAACAGTTTTATAGACTGCCCACTTTGGTGGACGCGAGGCGGTTTACGAAAACAAAACAAAACCGAACAGCAAAACAAAAAATGGCCAATATTTGAAATCTCATGGCTTATCCTGGTCATGCAGCCATGTTTAAATTAAATTTTAAAAGTGTTTTCCCTGTCTTCACCTCCCTTTTTAATCTTGGGCTCCAAGGGCCAACCCTTCTCTTGATCTGAAGAAGGTTGCCCACAATTGAGGTGCTTAACACGGACCGTAGCTCTTTTCTTTCATCAAAAGCAGTAATATATTGTACATACTATGCCAAATGTGGTCCGTGGTTCAACTCAGCCTTCTAAATCGTACCGATTTTAATGGGAGAACTGAATACCTGCTTAAATTTCTTCCATTGACATATGAGAGGCTTAAAGCTGCTTACTCTCACATGGACTTGCCATTTTCAACAGTTCTTTTAATAATTTTGCACCATGTTGTCAGGGTTGGATCATCCACACTCTGTCAATAGGCAATCACTAGCAGCACCAAAATAAGTTGAATTCTTCCTTCTTGCTCCCTTATCCCTTATCTTTTCTGTTTGTTTGTTTGTTTGTTTGTTTGTTTGTTTGTTTGTTTGTTTGTTTGTTTGTTTGTTTGTTTGTTTGTTTGTTTGTTTGTTTGTTTGTTTGTTTGTTTGTTTGTTTGTTTGTTTGTTTGTTTGTTTGTTTGTTTGTTTGTTTGTTTGTTTGTTTGTTTGTTTGTTTGTTTGTTTGTTTGTTTGTTTGTTTGTTTGTTTGTTTGTTTGTTTGTTTGTTTGTTTGTTTGTTTGTTTGTTTGTTTGTTTGTTTGTTTGTTTGTTTAAAGGTCCTTTTGTGACAAGTATGAGCATTCGAAGTTCAACTAGTGAAGCCTTAGATGTAAAAGTTGAACAATTTCTCCCTAAAGAAGCACTGGGAGAAAAGTTGGAAGAAGCTGAAAGCATCAGTGAAGAAGAAAAGCAGGAATCCAGATAATGAGAAGGTTGCAGAAATGTCATTCTCCTTGTATAAAAATTATAAAGGGTTGTTCTTGTAGCTCTTCCATGGATTCCATCAAGTTCTGGTCTTGAAAGAGAAGTATGCACCAATATCAGAGACAACAATTCAGTTGTCTCCAAAACTGAAGCTCCTTAGAGCTGTTAGATCAGCAATCCCCAAAATTTTGGGCCTATATGTATCAGAATTTTTGGTATTGCAGGCTCAGCACATCTGGAGAGTCTGCCTGCACTAACATTAATGTTTCAGTGCAAACCATTCTCAGTTTGTAAAAAAGGTGTAATTGCACAAAGTATTATTAAAAATTTAAAGTCTTGTATTCAGTTTTTATTTGTTTATCTAGGAAGCTCTTGTGTCCCTCGAGTTTTTGCTTTAATCTTTTTCAATCCACAGATGAAGTGTTTATATCTTAATGGTCTTTTAAGAAAAAATAAAATGCATTGGCAGGTTAATAAGGTGGGTTATGTTGGGCATGGCTGCTATTTGCACTCTGACAAAAGTGCTGAGAGCATCTGGCCTTGGAGATTCATGACAGATACTAAGGAAGATCCCATCCTCTGTCCACATATTATGGACATGTAGCAACAGTATCTTTCATCATTGCTTAAAATGAGGTAGAGTAGACAACATATTGCAGGTAGTACAGGAACCTTGGTCTTTCGAATCATCTGAGTTTAGAAAAATGTCATCAGGCCTGTTGGATAGTTAAAAGCCTGAAGTTCTTTCCTTAAACTCTCACCAGCCAGGGGACAAGGAATTTGCATCTAACCTCCCAGTTTCACACTCAGATAAATCCCTTTCCTGCCCCCACCCCCAGTAGAGGCTTATATAGGATTTAAATATGTTTATTTCGCCTTGCCTTGCTTCCCTTTGCATGCTAGAAGTCCTGCAACATTGTGGGTAGCTGTTTGCACAACACACAAAT